GAAAATCAGCAAATATTCAGCGGTTACCATTTAAATTTGAAATTATTCTGCAAATTCCGCAAGAAATCAGTAAAAATTCAGCAAATTCTGCAATTCAGCAAAAATTCTGCGGTTACCATTTACACCCTATATCTCATCTTTTTATTCTTGATTTTATTCTTATTGAATTGATGCATAATTGCCATGTCTATTTCTTGTTTTAAAAACAAATTTTTTTTTCCGTAAGTAATTATTTATTTTATCACTGTATAGAGCTTATATGCGATATCCTTAAAGACAAAGTATATTTTAGTCTATCATGTTAAAATAGCATTACATCAAACATTATTTCTTTCATAAAATCCACAATCAAAAGTTTCTTTGTTGTTTTTAAGTAAGATTTAAATCAAAATTAAAGCAGTTTATGAAACGTTAAAGAAACGAAATAGTGCAATTGCCTACAGAAAGTGCATAAACTAGTTTCTGTATGCGTCACCTAACAAATAGTTGTAGCCTGAAGAAAATGTACAAGACAACAAAATGGGGATGATTACATATATAGGCACTTTAGTTGGTTTTATTTGTAGGCATTTTGCAAAACAAGTGTACTTTGAGCTTGTGAAATATCTAATATAACTCTCTAGTAACTAGAAAGTAGAAATCCATTTAAGTTAACCACATCTCGTTTCTTTGTAGTTAGACTTTTTTTATCTAATTGAGATCTTTTTAATTTGGTAAAAATTCTAGATTTTTTCAGATTTTGGAAAATTTTCTCCCCAGAAAATCATCTTCGTTCCGAGCAAGCCCACCGTCTCTGCCACCACAATAAAGCAAAGGTCCGATTCAGTTTTTGGATCCGAGACAGAGACTAATTCGAATCTGAAACCGAGCATGCTTCGAAGAATCCTAATACTAAATCTGGGAAAGCAATCGCCGTCAACGTCGCAACCACAAATCCTAAGAAGAAGAAAAATCTGTCGTATACAACTTTAGCTTTACCGGCGGTGAAATCAGGTACGAAACGGCCAAATGAAGGGACTTCAAGGGACGCTAGCGCGAACCGAGCGAAGAAGGTGACTTCCGGAGAAGATGAGAAGAAGATCGGTGAAGATACAAAGAAACTANCTTTTCAAAGATTAATTTGGATTTTAAAAATCNTCGTTTNGTCTGGCCTGGTCCTCTCTCTTTCAAGAATGAACTTGTGTAGATTCTAAATTATGTAGTTAGGGTTGAAGAACAAATTTGTGTTGACCTTTCAGTTAATCAGAACGAACTTGTGACCTTTTCAGTTGTTGCACGAGTTCGTGTCCGTATGGATACTATAAACTGGTCACGGTTTCATGGACACTACAAAACTTGTCATCAACTTCACTTTTTCAGTTTTTTCAATTTTTTCTACAATTTATTTTGTGATAGATTGTGTGTGGATATGGGGTTGTGTGTTTACTTCCTGGATTTAATTGTTAGTAGCTTTGTCTTGTTTTCATAGTTTTAGGAATATATGTTGCTACTCTCTGAAAATTTTATATGTGATGAGGTTTTACGATTTGAAGCTTAATTAAGGTTTAAATTAGTAGTGATCTTGTTGAAGGTTTTTTCATATTTAGAAAATCTAAGATTAATGTTCCTCCCACTTTTCTGGTCTTATGGTTTGTGTTTTGATTGTTGTTGTTATGTTTCATAAGGTTGTACTATTTGGGCTGTGTGTAAGGTTTTTACTACTAGTGGTCATGCTTAAAAGTCTCTTACAAACCCTTTTTAGCTTGTGGATGCCATAGATGGACGGCTATTTTTGGATGGTCATCCAAAATAAGCTAGTGATTTTTGTTGATGTTTGGACAAGAGAAACTGGCCATTCTTGATGATGTTTGGATGACTTCGTGTCGACAAGTTTTGGGCAAACGTGGATGGGTCATTGTGGACAACTTATGTGGTAAACGTGAACAAATNTGTTGTTTTGCTGATTTGGAGAAGAGCATAAGTCTTGTGACTTGATACTTCAAAACTCCTTCAAAGCATGACACTAATCAAGTAACTTTCTCTCTCTCTATCACTTTTTTCACTTTTGTAAATCCAATTTTGATTGCTTTTGTTAGGTATGTGCTTTGTTGGAGAATTTCTTGATGGATTTTGTTTAATTTGTAAAAAGACTATTTCTTTAAAAAAGTCTATTTCTATCAATCCTTATCTCAATTTGGAAGCCATAAAGAAATCGATCGATTCTCTGTCAATTTTTATCTCAATTTGGAAGTCTTTGTTGTTTTTCACTATCAAAGGGTGAGAACAATAATTTATTTGACAAACTCCAGTTTTGCTTCTCCTTCATTCTGTTTTTTTGTTGTTTTGTCTATATGAGTAATGTTTCGTGGTATTCTAAAATCTACAAAAAAGGAGAAGTAGAAGATGGAGTCTAAATGCAATAGATTTCATATGTTGAACTATGTTTGCTTTAGGTGATTTTTGATAGTCGGATTCAAAGATTATGGCTTTCAAGGTTCTGATGGTGGTGAAGAAGAGAGTGATGCAGAGGAAGCGTTTGGTTTTGAAATTAGCTCATCTCCCAGAACTGATCTCAGCTTCTGAAAAGAACCTTCTCATGGATACGATGTCGTGGATACGGATCGATAGACAAAATGT